GCGAAGCGCTGAGGGCGGTGTGGGTGGGGTCGGTGGGGGGGAGTGGCGGTGTAGCCAACTTTGAAGCCTGTTAATGCTTCTTGACGGGAAAAGGGCAAGAGCAATGCCTCAGACAAACAAACAAACAACCCTTCGGGATTTCACTGGCGCCGCCCCAGCAGGGGTCGGCGGATATAAATACATGTACATAGATACATATATTATAGTTAAATACATAAATATTCATATCACATATTATATCTAGACATACACACGGACACACAGACACACCAACCCACCCACGCACGCACGCACGCACGCACACATACATACGTACATACATACGTACGTACATAGATACATAGATAATACATGCATACACGGCACACACACACACACCTGCACATAAGTAGATACCAGCAACATATGCGTGAGCATACATCTTTATACATGCACGTGCGCAAAGTCAGAAACATGTACTAAATTCGATTCTGGTTTAGTCTTTTCCGTATATCATGTGGTTATACTATGCCTTGGTATTGTGTGTTTGCACGAAATTAGATTATGTTATGTGATGCTATGTTGTACTATGTTGTGTTATGCTACATTATAGTATATTATATCCTGCTATATACTACAACATTATATTACAACACCAATGCAATACAAGATAATATATGCTATATAAAGTACCATATTATGATATGCTATACATTATGCCACGTTTCATTACATGTTGGGTTATGCTACGTTGTGCTATGTTGTGATATGGTTATGGTTATGGATATGCTATGTTATACTATGTTATCATATGTATGTTATGTTATGTTAGGTTATGCTACCTCATGCTTCGTTCTAGTATGCCATCATGATCTGGTATGCTATTCTATGTTGTGTTATGCTATGCAATTGATTATGTTGTATCATGACTTCTGTTCTCTGACCGACCATCTCCAGTGCTAGGAGGTCAGAGAGGTGGAAGTTGAAGCCGCGAAACGAGGTCAGCCTGCGTCGGCCTCGGATTCGTTGGGATGCGGGGGGGGGGGCGCAGAAGACTCCGGGGCTCTCTTCATCCCTTTGCCTTTGAGCTGTGCTCTGCTCAGGCTGTGGAGATCCGGCTGAGGCCATGATTCTTGTTTCAGTCTGCCTCAGGTAGGGGCATGTCACACCGCCACGGGGCGAAAGTCGATGCTCTCCTGGCTCGAGAGCAGAGCCTCCGGTTGAGGGCTTATGACCCGATGGAAGTCCGCGCCTTCGGCCCACTGCCAGCGGCAAAGACTGGACTTGGCCTCTGGCCGAAAACCCGCAGAGCAGGGAACGATGAGCCTTGGACTGCTAGTGTGCCCAAAGCACAGTTAGGTACAGGGTCCACAGGGCCGTTCCGCTGGCCAGGCTTGCCTTCTGTCCAGGGGCTGGCGCTGCCACAGGCACGGCCCTTGGCTGATGAGAGGGCCAGGGCCCGCTTCCCCTCTCTGCGCCCGTCAGGCGCGCCGGCCGGCGGCCTTCGTCTCGCAAGCGTGCCCAGCTGAGCCTTCAAGCAGTCTGCCGACTCGGGGTTGTCGCAGCCTCTGGGATTTCGAGTTTGGTGGAAGGCACCCACGAGCCCTCGGACCCCCAGCAGCGCGCCTTGGTGAGCGAAATGTTGCGGGAGGAGACGCTCGGCTTGCAGGGCAGTTCCCCTTTTGTGTCACAGTTTGGGGCAGCTTTGGCCTTCGCTTGGGCTCTCAGGACGGAAGAGGGCATCCTGCAAGCAGTGGAGCAGCACTTCGGCCAAGAGACGCAACCTCTTTGGAGACTCGGGGCTCATGAGTGCTCTTTCTGAGGCTTCGAGAGGGGAACTTTTTGTCCAGAGTTACTTGGAGAAATCCAAGTTCGGCTGTCTTTGTCTCCTGAGTTCCGGCCGCTCTCTCTGATAAATGCCAGGTCCATGACTACACCAGTGTGGTCATCGCGTTCTCTCGCAAGCACTACTGGGAAAGGGCTTGCGATGTCCTTTCCGAGATGCACTACCGCGGCTTGGATTCTTACAGGCTAGAGTGTCTGCGAAGAAACATGGCAAGACAAGCCATGGAGCACTTCTGCAGGCAGTCTGGCAGCAAAGCCGGTGGCCTACAACAACGCCATGAGTGCTTGCTTAAGCAGGGAGAACTGGCAGCAGCCCCTCCGCCTCCTCCGAGAGATGCGACGCTTGGATAAGTCTGTGATGCTGTGAGCCTGGAGATGTCGTCGGTGCCACGTGGATGTCACAGTTCTTAGGAGAGCGGGCGGTGCCTTGCGACTTGTTCTCCTACACCAATGCCCTGACAGCCTCTGGCCGTATGGGATCCTTGGCTCTACTCCTACACTCCGACACAGAGCCGCGGACTTCAGAAGTCTCTGGCGGCGGCGAGGTATGTGGCAAGAGGCACTGCGGCTGCTTTGGAACATGGTGGGAGACAAAGTGGCTCCCGACATCGTCGCCTTCAACGCAGCCGGAGGCTGAGACTTGGGCCCTTCGTCAAGCCTTCGTCAAGCTGCTCAGGCCTTGGCCGCCTGTGAGAGCGCCGGCCGTTGGCAGTGGTCCCTTCAGCTCACGAAGGCGCGCAGAGCTCCCCGGGAGCTCCTCCCTCTGCCTTCCCGCTTCGCTGAGGCCTTGGGGCAAGCCAAGCTGCAGCCAGTTCCTCGCATGCAGAGAGCCGCCCAGCTCAGGTTGTCGGTTTCTTAGGATGCGGCCTAGGATGACGTGACTTACCGATCCATCACGAGAGCCCTGGAGATTCCTGCCTGCACATAGCAGACATAGCACGTCTGGCGCGATTCTTGGGTCATCTGTCGACCGTGTCTCGCCAAGCCACGTCTCCAACACCCGAGCTCCGAGGGCTGCGGAGCAGCAGCTGAGAGAGCTGCGCCTGGAGTTGCCCTCACCCGCGGCTCCGGGAGAGCCCTCGCATCAAGGCGTGGAGTTCGAAAATCCGTTGACCTTCGGAGCCTCTGTCTGTGACTGGTTGGCTTCAAGTAATGGCTGATCAGTCGAGGACCCGCGCAGCTGCACTACTGCCTCGTGCAGTGCGATGCGCAGGGCTTGGAGGGCTGGTCGCTGGCAGCTGGCAGCAAGCACCGGCGTTGGGCGGCCAGGCAGCAAGGCAGCGAGCGGTTCGCCAACCTCGCGAGCGCCTCTGCATCGACCCAAGGACACCCTCTTGCACCTCGACGGGATGGATGTCTCTTTTCCTAGGCTCGAGGGTGGTTGCAGTAGCTTGCAGTTTCAGGCTCGGGCTGCTGCAGTGCTTCATGATGGATGGACAGTGGCTGCGCGCCATGGCTGCTACCAGAAGAAGGCGTGGTGTGCGGCGCCGTGTGTATGCCAGCGCGTGGGGTGCCGCAGAGGGAGCGGGGCGGGAGAGCACGACTAAAAGCTAAAACCCCGCGCAGTGATGTGGGGAACAATTAACAGCAATGAGCCAGAGATCCACGTTTGCCTGCGCAAGTTGTGGTAAGTTGGATGGACGTTGTTGGTTTTTGTGGAACAGAAGTCCGACGTCAGCCCTTCGCCCGATCTGGACTGGAGACCTTGTCCAAACTCAGGAAATGTAGCTGCCTCCCTTCTCGTGGGCCCAGATGCCATCCATGCCACGGGGGCCTTGCAGCGCCTGGTGCTTCTGGGCCGCAAAGATCCCTGCGGTCACAAATCCTAGACTGCGAAAGCTCCGGGTGCCAGGATGACGGTGCTGGGCCAGGGCCAGGACGGTCGGCCCTTTTACCAGCCGGCCACCCTGAAAGCCTTCGAGGAAGCACTATGGAAGCGACGTGGCCAGGCAGAGGGGAACGCAAACCCACAAGCCTGTAGGCCAGGTATAACCGGCCATGGCAGAATTTAGGCAGGAGGCAACCAAAAAAATCCAGGCCGACGTGAGTAGGGATCTGGGTATATGTAGAGGCTCTTGCCGCGACAGGACGCGGAAGGTCTCTGCTGGCAGCGGGCGCCGCGTCGTCCGAAGACCCGGCTCGAGGCCCAAGGCGCTGAGAGCTGAAAGAACTTCCGCTGTTGTTCTGCAGGCATGTACCTGAATAATTTACGGCAAAATCAAGCTTATGATTATGCGTAAATCACTTTGCGTGAACTTGAACAAAGGTCGGTCGGCAGGTAGGCAAGCAGGCAGGCCGGCAGGTAGGTAGGTAGGTAGGTCAGGTATGTGGTTTGGCTGTGGGAGGCAGCGTGGCAGGCGTGTATTTTACCGAGCTGTACCGATGTACATACACCATTCCGTGCTGCATGTGGTGCGAGCTTTAATTGTGCAGATGGAGGTAGGTAGGTGGGTAGGTAGGCATGTAGGTAGGAAGGTAGCTAGGTCTGAGTGAATGGAGGCAGGTGGACGGGGTGTATGCTACTCGGGGTGTCACATACACCATTCCACGCTGCAGATGACGGGAGCTCTAGTGCAGAGGCATGCTCCTGGAAAGCCTGGGCGAGCTCGTCGGGGAGGCGCCCGCCAAGGCCGCTCTCTGCTATTGGATGCTGTTGGCGGAGTAGTTTTTGGGGATGTTCAATTGCCCTTCCGGAAAGCTGTGGAGGCTGGTGTCCTTGTGTTTGATGCCGGTGCCGCGCTGACTTACGACGAGTTGCAAGAGTCTGGCTGGACAGGCAGCTACGACAAGCTGCCACCCGACTGCATTCGCTGCACGAACTCCGAATAGGCGGCGAAGAGTGAACAAGCAAAAGAGAGAGACATTTCCTTCCTTGCATGGAGGTTTGTGGTGCTTGGGGGTGCGCACGGCTTTGATGGGGCCGACGATGTCGACGGCCGTTTCTTGGGAGAAGTGCTGGGGCGCTTTGGAGCCCGAGTCGGTGCGGAGAACGTGGCGAAGGTCACGCTGACGGAAGATGCCAGCGCCAGCGCACCTCTGATGCAGCGAAAGCACGTCAGGACATGCCCGTCGATGCTGGGGTCAAGCTGTTATCAGGCAGCTATCACCTTCCCGCTGTCCAAAGTTGTCAGCTTCATCAGTGTGGAGCACGGTCGTGGCACCCTCTTCGCAAGCAAGCGAGCTGAAAATGAAAAAGGGTCGGCGGCAGCTTGTAGCCGCCCCAAAAAGAGAGCCTGCATCTCGCGGTGGGGCCAGGCGCTCTCAGGCGGTCCAGCAGGAGGCGGGGGGACCCTGTCTTCCTTTTCCGAAGCTACATAGTATTTTAAAGTATAGGTTCCTCCACGAAAGTCAACGTGCATCGGCCGAAGCAGCTTGTGACAAGGCATTCAGCGAGAGCGAGCTGAAGGAGGCGAAGAGAAACCTTGCAGAGACCTCATCCTTGTGACTTTGCTTTTGCTTGCCAGTTCCGAGACATCTACCGGCACCTACGCCTCCAGGATTGAGAGCTGCTGTAGCATGGACCCTCGACTAGCTGAGACTGAGCCGTGCGTCCAAAGGGACGTACATGACCCATGTCGTGCGCAATGCAAGGCAAAGAGTCCAACTTGCTGTGCAGAGACGGCAGAGAGTAAAGCAGTGCAACGCAGGGAGGTGCCCCTTTCTCAGCTGCTTTCTCAAGTCTCAGACTGATGAGGCAGCCTGCGGGAACGAGCGGGGGGTGGTGGGGGGGACCATGGAGGTCCCCGAAGCCATCCCAGAGGACTTGTCGTGAGAGATGGAAGCTTCACTACACTGTGAGACACAAGAATACAGTAATGTTATTCAGAATAGAATGCAGTATAGCATCTGATAGTAAATTTATTTTTGGGACGCGATCAGGACTTCGTGCTGGGCCTGGTCCTCGCAGTCTCTGGAGGAGGAAAGACCCGGAGCCTCCAGGCCCTGCGCCGGGAGCGCGGTTTGGGAGCCGAGGATGGACTGGACTTGAGCCCCTTGGCATGGATCTCAGCTTGCCAGCCGAACACATTAAGCAGTCTGCGGTTCTGGACAGTATACACGTTAAACCGTCTAAACGCTAACAGCTTCTCGTCGCTGCTACGTGTCCATCATGCTTGGTTCTCGGACCTCCGGCCTGCGGCGCGGTTCTTCGGAGTGCAGTGCTTGCAAGACTCACAGGGATAGCTGAACTCCTGGACCTCCTCCTGTCAATTTTGCTTCCGGTTTTTGCTTTCCATATAAACCCCTAAACCCTAATCGGCCTGAGCCCGAATCATGTGAGACAACCCTTGTGAGTGCCGAAACCCCAAACCCTTCAGTTCAGGAGATGAGACATTGCCACCGGTGGCGGACCCACGTTTCGCATCGGCAGAGGCCGCAGTGAGCCGGCTCTCAGCCGCAGGGCTCTCCTCGGTGCCCGCCTGGCGTGGAGCCCCAGAGCGCTCTCTCTCTCGCTCGCTCTCCCGCTCTCTCATAGTATACATACATGCATACATGCATGAATATATATATATATATATATATGTGAATGTGCGCGTGTGTGTGTGTGTGTGCGCGTGTGCGTGCACGTCTACTGTCTGTGCCTATGCCTATCTGTTCCTATGCCGCATGCCCATCTATGACGATGCCTACGTCTACGTAAAGGTGGATGGATGAACGTTTCGGGTGATGCTCACGTGCTCGGGTCGTCTCTCAGGTGCCGGCCGTTTTGGACTCTCTCCCATGGGGAGCAATGCCGAGCTGACTGCGCAGCAGCGCTCAAGGCTTGCCAGGGGAGGGTTCAGTTGCAGTTTAGTTTCGTGCTTGAGAGGCGGTGCAGTTAAGTCGCATTTCAGAGCAAGCCATGCCGAAAAAGAGAACGCAGGTTTTTGCATGTGTCAGTGAATGCTAGGCGCGAGGGGTCCCGAACTTTTGGGTTACTCGACCTTTAGGATCACTATGAGCCTTGCTGCATGCTGCACCTAGGACTCAAGCAGTCCAACTAGCAAGCGATTGCATGCATACTAGCAAGCCTTTTTCACCCACGCACCCACCCACCCTGGGGCTTCAGCTGCACTGCAAATCGTATTTCAGAGCAAGCCATCCCGAGAAAGGAGAGCGTGGCTCCTCCATTTGCTACAAGCTCCGAATCATGTCCTTGTCTTGTCCATCTGCCGGGTTGTGGAGAAGAAGTCCACCTCGTTTATTGACGGGAGTCGCCTCGGATTGGGCTGGGCCAAAATGAGAATGCTAGGAGCATAAATCTCATGAAGGTGGCAAGATGGCGGAATCATAAACAAAACTCGGCTCCTTCTGTCTCTGTCGACTTGGCTTGGTGCGGGTCTCAGGGTGTTGCTTGCCGCCGTTGCCGCAGCATTGCGCTCCTTGCGCCTTCATCCGCTGTCGCGCCCCCCATCTGAACCGGCCCGACGTTCCGCTGCGATGGCTTTGCGCCGACTGGTGGCTGCCTCTGCAGTTGCCGTGTGCTCCGCACGGTTGACGAGGTGGGAGAGCCACGGGGAGTTGATGGATGAGGAGGCCTTGAAGGAGAAGGCTGTGTCGCAGGATTTGATCGATGCCGTAAACTCCGCTGAGGGTTCAACATGGACGGCAGGCGAGAACATCCGCTTCGCAGGTGCCACGCTGAAGGACGCCAAGATTCTCATGGGGACCTTGCAAGACTTGGACGGCAGTGTCCTTCCCTACAAGGCTCCCGAGGACGTCGAGTTGCCAGCGGAGTTTGACTGGCGAACGGACCCGCGAGCACAGGATTGCCCCAGCTTGAAGGAAGTCCGCGATCAGGCCGACTGTGGATCTTGCTGGGCTTTCGGAAGCGTAGAGGCCATGACGGATCGCGTCTGCATCGCCAGCAAAGGCCAGAAGAAGATCCACCTTTCTGCCGAGGACGTCACGAGCTGTTGCAACCTCGGCGACATGGGCTGCAACGGTGGGATCCCGTCCACCGTCTACACGTACTACAAGTCTGTGGGTATCGTGGATGGTGGAAACTACGGTGACAAGTCCATGTGCTACTCCTACCAGATGCAGCCCTGCGCACACCACTCGGTGTCGCCTCACTACAAAAACTGCACCGGGGAGGAGCCTACTCCTTCCTGCGCGAGGAAGTGTGTGGACAATGGTGCAGATTGGAGCAGCAGCAAGCACTACGGCACTGGTGGATACAGTGTGTGCCAGCAGGGCAGTGGAACCAACTGCGCCCAGGCCATGATGCAGGAAATCTACAGCAATGGCCCCATCACCGGAATGTTCTTCGTGCACCGAAGCTTCCTGTCATACAAGTCCGGTGTCTACAAGGCCGGTTTCTTCTTCAAAGATCCTATGCTGGGTGGCCATGCCATTAAGATCCTCGGTTGGGGCACCGAGAACGGCACACCCTACTGGCTGGTCGCTGGCTCAGCTAGCATGTGAGTGCAGTAGTGAGTGAGCGCCAGCTTCCCCGTTGCTACTTGACGTTTGTTCAGGTGGCCAACAGCTGGAATGCGGATTGGGGAGATCATGGTTTCTTCAAGATTGAGCGCGGCACGAACCAGTGCCAGATTGAGAATCCAATCATCAACGGCGGTCCGGTTGCAGGCCAACCCAAGCTGCACTTGGAGGAGTTGGTCGTCTAAACGGCCTTGCAAGGCCTGAGGGCAGCTACTTGTAGACAGCCGCAGTATGCCGTAGTGGTTCTGACATGGGCCCTCCACAAAAGTTGCACAGGGTTCCAGTCAGATTTTTGTTTCGTGATTTTGAACAAGAGCCACGCTGCTCCGGCGAGCCTTTTGGGCACCCGGGACAAGAGAGAAGCCCTGTGGCAGCGTCTTCCAGCACCTCTCAGACTTTGTGGCTCTCTCGCACAAGTTTCAGCTTGTGTTGCGCAAAAGCTCCAGCAGGATTTCCAAAGCCCCCATGGAGGGGAGCCTTCACGCTTGGAGACGCTTGAAGCTGATTCCAGGATGGCGCCTTGCTGGACGACTTCGGCGCCTTCACCGCCTCCGGCCAGACGCAAGCGGCCGCCGCGGCGCTCTCCCGCTTCGTGCGCAGCCAGGCGGGAAGGGCGGGGAGTACTACAGGGTTTTGACCGGCAAGTGAAGATCTAGCACTTTCCTTTTTGTGGAGTGTCGCAGCTCAAACGTGGCTAATGATACAGTAGTAAGAATCACGAGGTTTTGCCAGTTTCACTACTACTCGTCACCATGAACAGCATTTGGTGTTCTCCTAGTCTGGTGTCGTGCGAGCCTCGTCGTGCGTCGCTCTCGGGCTCAGGGGCTTCGGAAGATCGTGGTGGCTGCAAGCGAGACTTGGAGCCTGAGCCCACAAGGGCCCCATTACAGTATCCAGCAGTGCTACTGCTATTGTCATTGCGACGGATTTTGTGATCCGTAGAGGTCTGCAATCTGAGGACGTGGGCCTGGCTTCATGGCTTGCTCCGGATTGGGTCTGGCTCCCACGGAGCAGGGAGGTGATCTTGATGAGCGCTAGCTGGTGTTCCGGCCAAATCAGAGATTCTGGAAACAAGCGGTGGCCTGTAGCCTTGTCGTGCGCAGCCGAGGCGGCCCAAGCTTGAATTTTGCAGCAGGGATGCAAACAGCGCCTGTTTCTGCAGCTGAGCCTCAAGCTCAAGAAATGAGGTCTTGGATCAACGTGGGCACCGGAAGCTCGCTGGAGCAGCCTCTTCGGCACAGCCACGCTCTGCGAGCGCACGGCGCGAAGCTGCGAGGTCCAGAGGCATCCCAGGCGGAACGTGCCCAAGACCGTTTTCGAGACTTTTGGGGGGACAGGCCGCGAGTCTTCTTCCTCTGCAGGCTGGCTCTGGTGGAGGAGAGCTTCGACTTCCGCTCGCAGACGCGAGTCTCCTCGCAGCTCCCGAGCCCTGGCGTTTCAAGCCCCGGGCCACCCGCCCCCGCTGACGGCAAGAGAGCCCAGAGAGTCGACAGAGAGAGCGAGGATGCTGCCCCGCTGGCTCCTGGCAGCTTGGTCGCAGCGGCTTTCGTTTCCTGCGTAAGCCGTAAGCGGCCAAGAAATCATGCCATCCTAACTTCCTGACGCACCGGCTATAAGGGCGAAGAGTAGAATCCCCTTCCACCCCCCCGGACTCTTAGGAGGAGGACCTGCCGGGCCTGGGCATTGTTTTTGGGCCTTCGGGCAGCGGGAAGACCACCGTCTTGCAGGCGTTCCAGGAGATGAAGGCCTCTTGCTCGGAGTGAAGAAGCGCAGGTCTTTCTACTCAGTCAGTGGCATCTGGGTGTTTTCCTGAGGTCTGCCCACCCTTGGTACCGACCACTCCACAAGGCTGGCAGTGATTGGTGATTGTTGCGATTCCTCTAATGCAGTACAGCCATCGAGAAACTAATTTTCGCGATCGTTGCTCTGCTTCTTGTCGGTATCGCTTCTGAAAGCACCTCTCCGCAATTCTGGCCGTTCTGGCAGCCATTTGCACAGAGAAGTTGGGAGCGTGGTCCCTTGCACCAGCGTCTGGTCATGTCCTTCAACCTGCGGCCCCTGGACTCTACTTTGAGGGTGTGAGGCTCTGGGATTTGGGGTCGAGGTTAGAGGGCGTGGCTCACGGACCTGCGAAACAACTGCAAAGACCTGGCATGCCAGCTAGCAAGACTCCTGCCATTCCATGTCCTGCGACACGACGGCGACACCGGAGCAGGGCTAACGTACAACGGGCTTTAGTTCGGCCCATCAGAGCTTACGCCCAAACCAAGCATGTTCACCTGCCAGGGTGTAGCCGGGGCCAGGGCATGAAAGTTTTAGGGCACTTTCATCCAAGGAGGATAAGCAACCCTTGCATCTCCACGGGCCGGAACTCCACGATCATCATGGATCCGGCCGCAGACTCAGGGCTCCGCAGGTGTACTCTCCACGTCGCATAAGGGCCGTGGTCAAACATGGCATCTCTATTACCAACTCGCTCAGAATGTAGAGATATCTTCCTCGTCAGAAGCTCATTCCAGCAAGCTTGTCGAGGGTGGTGGGAACGCAGAAAGTGAGAGGGATGGGAGAAGCAAACGTTGAGCCAGAGGTTTGAAGACTTTCAGAGGAAAGAGAAGTCTACAGAAGGAAGCAGTTTGAAAGAGAAGGATGTGGGAAGGAGCGGGAAACAGCAGACTGAGACTGGCCAGAGAATGCAACCAGGGAGAAGCCAGACGAAGCGAGGATAGAGTGCGAGAGACGCATGTTCACGTTTTGACTCGGGCATCGTGCCGTGTTCAACTTACAAGCAGCACCTTCCCTTCAAACCTGGCCTACGAGTTTTTAGATTCCGGAGAACACCAAGATGCAAGGCGCTGACGGAAACAAATGCAAGAATCGCGGCAGCAGTCGAGTCCCTTGTGAAAAATAGTTTACATCAGCACAGCGCTGGAAGGTGCAGCTCGCACAGACAGGAAATAACGTGGCTTGAGACTTTGGGGACCTAAGCATGACGAGATGGATAGGCCACTTTGGTGTCTCAGGTTTGGTTCCAGAGAACACGAAGATGCGCGGCCGGCCGGTTCACGGTTCGGCTTGCCGTCAAGACCGTGTAGTGTACATATGTATGCGCCCTATAGCCTATCTATAGCATACATCAATATAGCGCTGGAAGGTGCAGCTCGCACACACAGGAAACAACACTGTTTGAGACTTGGGGACGTAAACACGAGACCGATCATCGACTTTGGTGTCACACGCTACACTCCGGAGAAACACCAAGATGCACGGGACCGGGGCACACCGTTTGGCTTGCCATGCAAGCCATGTATCATTACGACATCACGTGCAATACGCCAGCGCCGACCCTCTGGCGCACATGCCCAACGACCAGCCCAAATTCGGTGTCGCGGAAGCACGGCGGATTGCCGTTTTTGCCGGAAATGGGTTGCATGTTGCTTGCTCGTGTTGCGGCAGAAGTCCCACACTGCATCCGCGCAGAGTGCATATTGGCAGCTCGACATGCCAGACGCACACAACACGCCAGCACCGACCCTTCGGCACACATACTCGACGACCCGCTCAAAAATGAATGCGGCAGATCTCCGATTATGCTCGAAACAGATACAAGAATCGCATCTGTATCGCAGCGTGCATCCGCAAAGGGTGCTCAGAGAAGAAACATGCCACACCCGCGAGGCCTACGTGCTCTGAGGATCAAACAAAATCAGACAAATGTGCACTCAGATGTGTGACAAGTTAACTGTAGCAGCGTGTGCAAGTTCTTAGCACACCGCTTCGGGCAACATCGCAATGCTACACAAGTCGAGCGTCCATGGCTTTTGACTTGGGACTTGTGCTCCTGCTGCAGTGCCACACACACACACAGCAGGCAGCCACGCAACTTGAACGACCGTAACAGAATCGCTAGAAGAATTGAGAAGCAAACGACAATAAGGTCTTTATTTACTCAACAGGACACTGCAGCCAGACATTGATATCACGACAACCTGAGCCTCCGACGTCTCTACATACAGGCGGCAGACGCAAGAATGTGGAGTGTGGGCGGCTTTTGAGGAAGGACCAGCCACCAACACGCGAATGCATCACGCATGCACCAGCAACGTACGTGACCGCACCTGGTCTTGACATGCCCTAAGCTTTGGATTGAAAACGACCAACGAAGATGCATTGCATACAGTTCGTCAGCTTCCAGTCGGGGAATTTCGCATGCAACTGCAAGCAGCAAGGTGAAATGGTGGGTCCATGGAACAGAATCTTATGCCGAGGCACTGCCATATGTCGGATCCTGATGAGCGGATCCCCAGACTCGGGTCCAGCCGGATCACCCGAGACCCCCGAAAGACTCGATAAGGAAGTTCCCATCGCATGGTCCAGCCGGAACACCCAACGAAAACCGCCGGTGCCACGGTTGGGCGTGCCATGAAAGCCGTATGTGACCATGAAGCGTTTTCTGCGGATCAACCTGCCGCCATTTTCATGGAGTGAAGACGGCCTGATGGCTAACATGCCACTTGTGCGGCCAAAGTCCTACAATGGACCACTGACAGGCGCACATTGGCAACGCTACACACCAGAAACGCGCCAGGGCCGACCCCTTGACACACATGCCCGACGACCAGCTCGAATTCGCAGTTGTGGAAAAGAACACGGCGGGGCAGACGAGAGGACAAGAGCGGAGAAGATGGAAAATACCATAGCATGTTAGAAGGAAGAAGCAAGTGATGCCAAGGAGGAGAGATCGGAGAACAGACAAGACAAGAGAGAAGGGAGAGAAACGAGAAGAAAACACAAGGAAAACAAAGAGGATAGGTGAGAGAACCGTCAGTGAGACCAGCTGGGATTAAACTGACGCCTCCGCAACGGGTAGCTATTGCGGATATTGAGTGTATGGCAGAAATGGACCATGAGAGACCCCCAGCACTTTCTTCCCTGGAAAATGCCCTATGCGGGTTGCGTCCTTGACTCGACCTTAGGAAGGCAATCATGGCAGGGCAAGAAGGGTTAAGCGAGACGACCACGCATGGATAACTGCCGCGATCTGCAAACCGACCTTCCTTAAAATCCTTAAATGCCACCCGAGAAGGAACTCCAGTGCTTCATGTGTCGCAGAGTGCCCTCTCCGAGGATTGGCTCGGGGGAAAAACAGCCTCCACGGTGAAGCCAAACGTCGGCGCCCAGTCTGCCAAGATTGAGGTGGTGGTGTTCAGTTCTGTTCGGTTAGTGTTGTTGTCGCCCCTTGCTTCATCAAGCAGGCCCGCTTGAAGCCCGAGCCCAAGCCTCCTTGAGCCACACGTTGAGCCGCACAATTCCCTAACAACCCCCAGACTTTGTAAGCAACGAAACGAAGACAGCGAACAGGCCGTAACGCCCGAAGGCCACAGAATTTCTTGACTGGATATAAGCCCAACAGAAAGAGGTTGTAAACCAGGAGCTAAACGTAAGGAGCCCTCCTGGAGCTGCTGAGTTGAGGCCTTTTCGCAGTGAACGGCTACAAGTGCCACCCACCGAGACGCACAGCTGGGGCGGGTCCCCGTCCTGCGGACGTGAGGCGCTTGTCAGCTCCTGCAACTTGGCCCCCAATAGCAGAAGGCCTTCGGGTTTAGAGGCGGGGGGTTGAGTCACGGAGTCTAGCGTTGCTTGGCTGTTGAAGCTGCAACGTTGCGGAAGCCCTGCGGTGCGTTTGGGACAAGGGGTAGGGGTCAGTTCCTTAGAAGTGCTGGCATTGCCACATCATGAGGGGTCAGTCTTGTTGAAGAGGTCGATCTGTTCGGTGTAGAAGAGGCGGTCCGCGGACTCGGGATGGAAACGGGGTTTTTCAGTTGAACAGGAATAATTTCGGGGCCTAAATTGTTACTAATTCTGTTGTTTCGGGTTTTAGGGCCTAGGGTTTTTATGCTTATAGTTTAGTGTTTTTTTATACCTATAGTTTGACATAGACTAGTTAAAGCCCTGTTCTGCCCCATTAAGGCCCCTACGTTACATGGTTGTTGTTCACCCTAAGCCCGACTACCTGCTTAATGGCCGATTGGAGCGTTGGTCTGAAGGACTAGTAGTACTCTTCCTGAGGGTTCCCGCGACTATGACATACCCCCCAAGACCCTACGACCTACCCCAAAGCAACCATTTACATAATTACGCTTGACAGCAAGAGTTGCAGAAAACAAAACTCATTACTACGTCGCGTTGTCCGGCACTCGCAGAAACCGTCAGTCCATGTCCCTCGCTGCTGTTCTAGGCACGGCTGCTGCCCAAGGTGCAATCGCTGCCGACTTTGCAGGCGCAGGGAGTTGTACATGAGCTGCTGCCGCCCCCGACGGTCACTTTTTCCGCGTCAGGCCAAGTCCGGGCCAGCCCGAGGCAGCGCTCCCAGGAAGACACGGACATGGATTCATCCTAAACCCTAAAACCCAAACCATTCGGGGCTGAGCCGCAAAAGCCTCCCTGGCTTCAAGGTGAGCACCTCCCTGGCTTCTGGCCACTGGAGGCCATCAGCGAAAACAAGGGACCGTCTCTGGGTTTTTTTTTGGCCAAAAAGGAGAATGGCGGCGCCAGGACGCGGACGAGGTGAAGCGCAAAGGCTGCCGGTGAGCTTGGAGTATTTTCCTGCTGGAATTCGAGTCTTTTGCCCATCGATGGCCCTGATTATGTCCTGGGGTGCAATACGATGTCAGTTGCGCAGCACAACGGAGAAAGTTCCTTTCTACCGTCGCAAGAGCACAGGCCGTCGAAGGCTTTGTTGATGTCCTGTCGAGGGCAGGAATGTAGCCGATCCCTCAGCAGATGCTGAGATGTCGGTAGGCACGATGAATGTCCCCGTGACTTGGCTTTTCTCTGCAAGTCTGGGTAATGACGCATGTCCTCAGTAGGCCGTGAAACATAAGACTCATCCGGGTCTTCGTCCCAACCCGGCCTGCAGGAAAGCATACTGCCTTGCTAGCCGTCGAGTGACAGCTGCTTTGGGCGGCAAGGGCTTTCGAACCATGGCTTTTTCAAGGTGCTGCCCCTTCAGCCAGAGCTGCTGAAGGGAGTGGCTGCAAAGCAGCAACATTTCAGCCCAGCACTGCTCCTACAGGAGGGACTTTGGCATGCTCTGCAAGATCCATAAGCCTTCATATTCGGGGCCGAAGCTCATAGAATAGAGAGAGAGAGCCTAAACTCGCACTCCCAGAGTCTTAGAGACCCGGAGACGCCAGGTCTCCCGGCGGAGGTGCGCGAGACGCTTGGCCTCGTGGAGGCACAGGGGCAAAGTATTGCGACCTAGCACCCGGAGGGCTCCGGAAAGCCAATGCCATCGAATCTTTTATCCACTTCCAGCATCAGCTATCGATTCTAGGTCTGAGAGACGTATCTCCCTTACCGCTTGCGCTTGGTGGGCAGCGGTGCTACTCAACACACCGTTTTGTGGACAACGCCACTGTCACGAAATGAGGGCCCACATGACAAGCATGTGGAGCGGCGAACGGAACCGTTGCAAAATTGCGTGCTACTGGCCAACCCACGAAACTACGTGCTACTTGGACGGCATGTATGTGTCTGTATATATATATACACATA